ATTTTTTTCCATGAATCCATAAATCCCAAAAAGAAAGGGGGTCCGGGGGTTCTCCCCCAGGAAAATTTTGATTCTTAGAAGGCGAGAAATGGGTTTTCCCGACTTCTGAGGTGTCTTTTAATTACTTTGAAGTTCTTTAAAATTCAAGGTTTTCCCCTCTTGAAAACGGTCAGGTAAATTTATCGCATTGATACTACAGTAGATAAGCCTTATGTATGTATACATACATAAAAAAAAAATGAGTAGTTGCATACGATATTTTCCATGAATCCACAAATCCAAAAAAAGAAAGGGGGGTCCGGGGCTCTCCCCCGGGAAAATTGTGATTCTTAGAAGGCGTGAAATGAGTTTTTCCGACTTCTGAGGTGTCTTTTAATTACTTTTCAGTTCTTTAAAATTCAAGGTTTTCCCCTCTTGAAAACGGTCAGGTAAATTTATCCCTTTGTTATTACAGTAGATAGGCCTGATGTGTGTATACATACATTAAAAAAAATTGAGTAGTTGCATACGATTTTTTTCCATGAATCCATAAATCCCAAAAAGAAAGGGGTGTCCGGGGGTTCTCCCCCGGAAAAATTTTGATTCTTAGAAGGCGGGAAATGAGTTTTCCCGACTTCTGAGGTGTCTTAATTACCGTACTTTTAAGTTCTTTAAAATTCAAGGTTTTCCCCTCTTGAAAACGGTCAGGTAAATTTATCCTATTGTTATTACAGTACATAGGCTTATGTGTGTATACATACATTAAAAAAAATTGAGTAGTTGCATACGATTTTTTTCCATGAATCCATAAATCCCAAAAAGGGAAGGGGTCCGGGGGTTCTCCACAGGGAAAATTTTGATTCCTAGAAGGCGGGAAATGAGCTTTCCCGACTTCTGAGAGGTGTCTTTTAACTACTTTAAGTTCTTCAAAAATCAAGGTTTTCCCCTTTTCAAAAATTATTATATTGAATCAATGAACCCAAAGAGAAAAGGGAGGTTCGGGTTCTTCCCGGGAAAATGTTAATTTCTAAATGGTGGGAAATGAGCTTTCCCGACTTCTGAAGTACCGTATCTTATAGCGATTTTAATTTAAGTTCTTCAAAACGGTCAGGTAATTTTTTCCCAATCCCAAAAAGAAAGGGGGTCGGGAGGTTCTCCCCCGGGAAAATTTTTATTCCTAGAAGCGGGAAATGACCTTTCCCGACTTATGAAGTGTCTTTAAATTACTTTTAATTTCTCCAAAAATCAAGGTTTCCCCACTCTTGAAAATGATTCAATAGAACCAATGAACCCCAAAGAAAAAAGGGGTCCGAGTTCCCCCGGAAAAATTTCGATTTCTAGAATTCGGGAAATTACCTTCACTGACTTCTGAAATGTCTTTTAAATGACTTTTTAAGTTCTTCAAAATTCAAGGTTTTCCCCTCTTCAAAATGGTCAGGTAAATTTTTCTCATTTTTTATTTTATGTGTGTATACATAGGCCTACTTAAATAAATGAGTAGTTGCATGCGTATTCGTTTTTTCCATGAATCGATAAATCCCAAAAAGAAAGGGTGATCCGGGGGTTCTCCCCCGGGAAAATTTTAATTCGTAGAAAGCGGGAATGAGCTTTCCCGACATTTGAAGTGTGTTTTAATGACTTTT